TGTTTATTATTTACTTCTTTTAATATTATTCCTAATGCTAAACACAAATCACTTGGGGAATTTCATTTTTTTTTCACAGTGGTTGTTTTGCACATATATTATATATTAAAAAAAAAGGGTTAAACCCTCATGTCATACAATGCTGTTTTGGGCTGTAGTTTTCAGTGAATTACATCTGAGACATTCTATTAAATGTATTACAAATATGTTGAATATTCCACACAATTTGTTCAACCAAAAGTATATTAAAAACTATAAATATTCTTATTACACTTGTAAATCATAATTCAGCCTTAGAGAAATAGTGTCTACTTGATTATTCTATTTGAAATGCCTAGATTTATGTTCTTATATATATATATATATATGTTCTTATATATAAATCCCCGAGGCCCGGTCTGTGACCGGCCCGGTTCGACCTCCAAAACCCTCTCCATGTATACTCCAGGTATTAAGCTTGGCTGAAATACTCTGCATAACTTTGGGCTTTCTACATGGTCTACAGTAGTGGTCCTCAACCTTCCTACATGAGTGGGCCATATTAATGGTTAAATGTGTGATGAGAACTGCAATGGTTTTGTTGACACTGGGCAGTGAGGAAACCTACATAAGCGAATTAATAATTTCATATGAAGGCCTCATCCATTTCCTAGAAGGGCCACATGCAGCCTGTGGGCCACAGGTTGGGGACCCTTGCAGTCTAAACTGTCACCCATTTCTACATAAACAATATATCACATTGAAAACAAGTATAAACTCTGCCCAAAATACTCATGCATACTAGAGGCTTTCTTTGTGTTTAACAATATTTTATTATATATAAATTACACATTATATGCTATACAAAGAAGTAAAAACTCTAATTTTTTATTTTAATTTTTTTAAAACTTGACACTGTACATACTTGCTTGCTAGTGGCTTTCTTTCATGTCTACCAGTTTTTAATGTAAACTAAACTATTGTACCACATCAATGAAAAGAAATTTTTAATTTGAACACTTCAGTAACACCTAGGTACATGATGCCTATTTGAAAGTGAAAAAAACGCTTACGTTATACAAATAACCCGCACATAGAAGAGAGGAGCTTATGACGACGTTTTGGTCCGACTTGGACCATTTACAAGTCACAACTTTTTGTTATTTATGAACACTTATGTCTATAATATGTTGTGGAAGTACTTTTTGCATCTCTTGATGGCTGTTTTACAGAGTATCTGTATATTCACATTACAGTTCAGTGGAGACTAGAAAGTCACAGTACCGTGACTGGAACAATATGCAAATTACCTACACATAGAAGAATGAAGCTATGACAACATTTCAGTCCAAGTTAGACCATTAACTAGTCACAAAGAAGCATGAAGGGAAGAGCACCAGTATATACGTACAAATGGAATTCTAGTGAAATAGTTATGATTTTAGTAGACAAACATTGGAATTGGCCAAAAATTGGGCTCAAAGTGGGCAAAATTGCTAGCCACTGGTGGTGTTATCCCACGTCAGCCTCCCTGACAGTAGCCACGGTGGTGTTATTCCCACTTCAGCCTCCCTGACAGTAGCCACGGTGGTGTGATTCCCACTTCAGCCTCCCTGTATATAAGAGGAGAGCTGGGCTCCAGCCCCTTCTTGTATATACACTGGCTTCCTTCCCTTTTGCACTTCTGTGACTAGGTAATGGACCAAGTTGGGTTGAAACACCGTCATAAGTTCCATTCTTCTACGTATGTTTTTTTTTGTGTACGGTTCAGTGGAATCAAATTTTCATTTCTTACTCTTCAATTAATCTCAGCCATAAATACAACTGTCTTATATTAGTCATCAACATTAACAAGAAATCCCACAAAGTTTAATACATTTTCCTGTTCAATTATGGTAGAGAAACCAGGGACCTGATTTGTGTGTTTTGTGTGTTATGTTAGGCCTTAAAATACTCACAATATATGTGCATGAAATTCAGGATTGTGAACTGCTGAAGTTATCTATGTTAGGTTGAGCATGCTGAACCTTGTATTATTATGTGGGTGTTAGGTGAAGGAATGCAGAGGTACATAACACTGTTAACTAAGCCAGTTACAGTAGTAATGAATACACTTACTGTATTATTATTATCCCTGTAGTTTTACAAGAAATGCTAAAATTTAACAGTAGTAATTAATTTCGTACAAAAAATACTTATTATATTCACTTACAGAAATAAGATATTGGAGTAATAATAATTGTTATTTATACAAGTACAAGATACAACTTATACAGATCATAGCTGACATCAGTGACATACTGTATAGAAAGTCCCTGGTTATGCAGGGGTAAATTTTGTCCCCAGGATGTGACCCACACCAGTTGGCTAACACCCAGGTACCTACTTACTGCTAGGTGAATATGGACAGCATGTGTGAGGTGACTAACACTCAGGTACCTATTAACTGTTAGATAAACAGGGACAGTAGGTGTCTGAAGGAAACATGTCCTAATGGTTCCAGCCCATACCAGGAATCAAACCATGGACCTCAGTGTGTGAGCTGAGTGCACTACCAACCCAGCTACTGGACATTATACAGTACAATACAGTACAACTTTATTTTCTGCAGTATACAAAATATAGTTTATATATGATAAAATATTTTTAAGCACAAAATGAAAGCCACTAACACGTGTACCTGGAGTATCCCTGAGTATACCTGGAGTATCCCTGGAGTATACCTGGAGTATCCCTGGAGTATACCTGGAGTATCCCTGGAGAGGGTTTCAGGGATCAGTGCCCCCTATGACCAGGCATGTGGTGCATATGATGACATATAAGGGATTATCATTAAATAATTTTGTTAGATCCGCCCCCACCTATATGCCTCGACCTCATCATCGCTGGAAGAAGGTCCTGATGAAGACATATATGGCAGGATACACTTCTCCCTCCACTATGATGCCACTGAGTCAGTTTTACTGGTGAAGGTAGGTTTAAAATAATTCATTTTTGAACTGTAGTGTAGGTAGGCCTCTGGCAAGACAGTGATGGAGTGAATGATGGTGAAAGTGTTTTTTCTTTTTTAGGTTATCCTGCCTCTTTGGGAAATGGCTGGTGTATTATAACAATAATAATAATAATTATTATATTTTTGTTAGTATTTTTATTACCTGGAACCCCTGAATCAGTAAGGCCCGAAGATAATCTGGGAGGTGGGAGCCAATCAGGTTTGATCTTAGGAAAGGAAGAGTAGCTCCAGTTCCCTGAGTCAAGAGCCCTGTATGAAAATACCCGGTAATGATAAATAGACAAGAAGAATATAACTGTATAGCCGAGCATTAATATTGCTGCTCAAGACTGCTGGAAAGGCATGATGAACCGATATGGTTTTGATTTGTAATCATTAAGATATATTGGTAAAGTGTAGCCGATTGTTCACTATTGTTCTTTCTGTAGGTGCTGGAGGCTGTTGATCTTCCTCGACCTGCTTGCAAAGATCGCAGTGATATGGCGCACTCAAACCCCTATGTCAAGGTAAGGCTGAAATGAATTATTCCATTTATGCACTGAGACTTCCACTGTATTATGGTAATGTTACTATTTTATAGAAGTATTATTATAATCTAAGTGTTATACCCTTAGGGTTTAGTGCCCCAAAAATATGTAATAAAAAAATAATATGTAGTAATAATGATAATTGAACAAACGAGCACAATACTGTGATTGGAATAGTACACAAATAACCCGTACATAGGAGAAAGCAACATGGCTCGCATATCCATCACAGCCTGGTAGATCTGGCACTTGGCAGAGACAATGAATTGAGTTTTCCCTTGAAGACTTCTACACCTGTTCCTGCAGAATTTCTAATACCTACGGGTACCATCTTCAGTAGTCAAGACCCATGGACATTGATACAATGTTTTTATATTGTGGCCCATTTGCTTTTCATCGAGTTTATTGTACAGGGTATATTTCCTCCCATATCAAAGTGGGAAGTCTGAATGTGTGTGGATGTTGTGCAAATGATAAGAAAGAGATGACTGTGGATGTTATGAATGAGAAGAAGCTGGATGTCCTGGCTTTAAGTGAAACAAAGCTGAAGGGGGTGGGAGAGTTTCAGTGGAGAGGAATAAATGGGATTAGGTCAGGGGTTTCAAATAGAGTTAGAGCTAAAGAAGGAGTAGCAGTAATGTTGAAGGATAAGTTATGGCAGGAAAAGAGGGACTATAAATGTATTAATTCAAGGATTATGTGGAGTAAAATAAAGGTTGGATGTGAAAAGTGGGTTATAGTAAGTGTATATGCACTTGGAGAAGAGAGAAGTGTAGAGGAGAGAGAGAGATTTTGGGAAATGTTGAATGAATACATGGGGAGTTTTGAACCAAGTGTGAGAGTAATGGTGGTTGGGGATTTCAATGCTAAAGTGGGCAAAAATGTTGTGGAGGGAGTAGTAGGTAAATTTGGGGTGCCAGGGGTAAATGAAAATGGGGAGCCTTTAATTGAGCTATGTGTAGAAAGAGGTTTGGTAATTAATACATATTTTATGAAGAAGAGGAAAAATATATATACAAGGTATGATATAGCACGTAATGAAAGTAGTTTGTTAGATTATGTATTGGTGGATAAAAGGTTGATGGGTAGGCTCCAGGATGTACATGTTTATAGAGGGGCAACTGCTATATCAGATCATTATTTAGTTGTAGCTACAGTTAGAGTAAGAGGTAGATGGGAAAAGAGGAAAATGGCAACAACAAGCAAGAGGGAGGTGAAAGTGTATAAACTAAGGGAGGAGGAAGTTCGGGTGAGAGATATAAGCAACTATTGGCAGAAGGTGGGCTGGTTGCAAGTATGAGTAGTGGGGGGGGGGGGGGTTTGAAGAGGGTTGGAATAGTTTTAAAAATGCAGTATTAGAATGTGGGGCAGAAGTTTGTAGTTATAGGAGGGTGAGTGCAGGTGGGAAAGAGGAGTAATTGGTGAAATGATGAAGTAAAGGGTGTGATAAAAGGGAAAAAGTTAGCTTATGAGAGGTTTTTACAAAGCAGATGAAAGAATTAGAGGTAAGACAGAATGTAGGATTGCGGATGAGCAAGGAGGTTTCAGAGTGGGTAGGGGATGTGTAGATCAAGTGTTTACATTGAAGCATATATGTGAACAGTATTTAGATAAAGGTAGGGAAGTTTTTATTGCATTTATGGATTTAGAAAAGGCATATGATAGAGTGGATAGAGGAGCAATGTGGCAGATGTTGCATGTATATGGAATAGGTGGTAAGTTATTAAATGCTGTAAAGAGTTTTTATGAGGATAGTGAGGCTCAGGTTAGGGTGTGTAGAAGAGAGGGAGACTACTTCCCGGTAAAAGTAGGTCTTAGACAGGGATGTGTAATGTCACCATGGTTGTTTAATATATTTATAGATGGGGTTGTAAAAGAAGTAAATGCTAGGGTGTTTGGGAGAGGGGTGGGATTAAATTATGGGGAATCAAATTCAGAATGGGAATTGACACAGTTGCTTTTTGCTGATGATACTGTGCTTATGGGAGATTCTAAAGAAAAATTGCGAAGGTTAGTGGATGAGTTTGGGAGTGTGTGTAAAGGTAGAAAGTTGAAAGTGAACATAGAAAAGAATAAGGTGATGAGGGTATCAAATGATTTAGATAAAGAAAAATTGGATATCAAATTGGGGAGGAGTATGGAAGAAGTGAATGTTTTCAGATACTTGGGAGTTGACATGTCAGTGGATTGATTTATGAAGGATGAGGATAATCATAGAATTGATGAGGAAAAAAAGGTGAGTGGTGCGTTGAGGTATATGTGGAGACAAAAAACGTTATCTATGGAGGCAAAGAAGGGAATGTATGAAAGTATAGTAGTACCAAACACTCTTATATGGGTTGTGAAGCTTGGGTTGTGAATGCAGCAGCGAGGAGGCAGTTGGAGGCAGTGGAGATGTCCTGTCTAAGGGCATGTGTGGTGTAAATATTATGCCCGAAAATTCGGAGTGTGGGAAATTAGGAGAAGGTGTGGAGTTAATAAAAGTATTAGTCAGAGGGCTGAAGAGGGGTTGTTGAGGTGGTTTGGTCATTTAGAGAGAATGGATCAAAGTAGAATGACATGGAGAGCATTTAAATCTGTAGGGGAAAGAAGGCGGGGTAGGGGTCATCCTCGAAAAGGTTGGAAGGAAGGGGTAAGGGAGGTTTTGTGGGCGAGGGGCTTGGACTTCCAGCAGGCGTGCACGAGCGTGTTCGATAGGAGTGAATGGAGACGAATGGTATTTGGGACCTGACGATCTGTTGGAGTGTGCGCAGGGTAATATTTAGTGAAGGGATTCAGGGAAACTGGTTATTTTTATATAGCCGGACTTGAGTCCTGGACATGGGAAGTACAGTGCTTGCATTCTAAAGGAGGGGTTTCGGGATATTAGCAGTTTGGAGGGATATGTTGCGTCTCTTTATACGTATATGCTTCTAAACTGTTGTGTTCCGAGCACCTCTGCAAAAATAGTGATTATGTGTGAGTGAGGTGAAAGTGTTGAATCTATACATACCTATTATGAAGTTTAATTGATAATTCTCCACTCACTGTGCATAATTTATCACTTTTTCACTGATGGGAAGCACTTCACAGCTTCTCTTAGGTTTTGAAGAACTGCAGCTTCTCTACTTTTGCACTTTGAGGTATTTTTGGGCCATGTTAACTGTGGATAACAAACTGCGAATACTGAATCACTGGATATGGGGGTTCTACTGTATTACCTTGAGTTTACCTGGAGAGAGTTCCGGGGGTCAACTCTCCCGTGGCCCGGTCTGTGACCAGGCCTCCTGGTGGATCAGAGCCTGATCAACCAGGCTGTTACTGCTGGCCACAGCCCGGCTGGTCAGGTACCGACTCTAGGTGCTTGTCCAGTGCCAGCTTGAAGACTGCCAGGGGTCTGTTGGTAATCCCCCTTATGTATGCTGGGAGGCAGTTGAACAGTCTCGGGCCCCTGACACTTATTGTATGGTCTCTTAACGTGCTAGTGACACCCCTGCTTTTCATTGGGGGGATGTTGCATCGTCTGCCAAGTCTTTTGCTTTCGTAGTGAGTGATTTTCATGTGCAAGTTCAGTACTAGTCCCTCTAGGATTTTCCAGGTGTATATAATCATGTATCTCTCCCGCCTGCGTTCCAGGGAATACAGGTTCAGGAACTTCAAGCGCTCCCAGTAATTGAGGTGTTTTATCTCCGTTATGCGCGCCGTGAAAGTTCTCTGTACATTTTCTAGGTCAGCAATTTCACCTGCCTTGAAAGGTGCTGTTAGTGTGCAGCAATATTCCAGCCTAGATAGAACAAGTGACCTGAAGAGTGTCATCATGGGCTTGGCATCCCTAGTTTTGAAGGTTCTCATTATCCATCCTGTCACCTTTCTAGCAGCTGCGATTGATACAATGTTGTGGTCCTTGAAGGTGAGATCCTCCGACATGATCACTCCCAGGTCTTTGACGTTGGTGTTTCACTCTATTTTGTGGCCAGAATTTGTTTTGTACTCTGATGAAGAATTAATTTCCTAGTGTTTACCATATTTGAGTAATTAAAATTTCTCATCGTTGAACTTCATATTGTTTTCTGCAGCCCACTGAAAGATTTGGTTGATGTCCGCCTGGAGCCTTGCAGTGTCTGCAATGGAAGACACTGTCATGCAGATTCGGGTGTCATCTGCAAAGGAAGACAAGGTGCTGTGGCTGACATCCTTGTCTATGTCAGATATGAGGATGAGGAACAAGATGGGAGCGAGTTTACCTGGAGTTTACCTGGAGAGAGTTTCGGGGGTCAACGCCCCCGCGGCCCGGTCTGTGACCAGGCCTCCTGGTGGATCAGCGCCTGATCAACCAGGCTGTTGCTGCTGGCTGCACGCAAACCAACGTACGAGCCACAGCCCGGCTATGTACTGTGCCTTGTGGAACAGAGCTTTTCACCGTAGCTGCCTCAGACTTTACTCTGTTGACTACTACTCTCTGTGTTCTGTTTGTGAGGAAATTATAGATCCATCGACCAACTTTTCCTGTTATTCCTTTAGCACGCATTATGTGCGCTATTATGCCATGGTCACACTTGTCGAAGGCTTTTGCAAAGTCTGTATATATTACATCTGCATTCTTTTTGTCTTCTAGTGCATCTAGGACCTTGTCGTAGTGATCCAATAGTTGAGACAGACAGTAGCGACCTGTTCTAAACCCATGTTGCCCTGGGTTGTGTAATTGATGGGTTTCTAGATGGGTGGCGATCTTGCTTCTTAGGACCCTTTCAAAGATTTTTATGATATGGGATGTTAGTGCTATCGGTCTGTAGTTCTTTGCTATTGCTTTACTGCCCCCTTTGTGGAGTGGGGCTATGTTTGTGGGACTACCCCCGTGTCCATGCTCCCTCTCCATAGGATGGTAAAAGCTCGTGATAGGGGCTTCTTACAGTTCTTGATGAACACGGAGTTCCATGAGTCTGGCCCTGGGGCAGAGTGCATGGGCATGCAGTACCTGGCAGTAAACTCTGCCAGGTACTGCAGTATACTCTGGCAGTAAACTCTGCCAGGTACTGCAGTATGCTCTGGCAGTAAACTCTGCCAGGTACTGCAGTATACTCTGGCAGTAAACTCTGCCAGGTACTGCAGTATACTCTGCCAGGTACTGCAGTGTACTCTGCCAGGTACTGCAGTATACTCTGGCATTTAAACCTCTGCCAGGTACTGCAGTATACCCCTGGCAGTAAATTCTGCCAGGTACGCAGTATACTCGGGGCAGTAAACTCTGCCAGGTACTGCAGTATACTCTGGCAGTAACTCTGCCAGGTACTGCAGTATACTCTGGCAGAAAACTCTGCCAGGTACTGCAGTATACTCTGGCAGTAAAACTCTGCCAGGTACTGCAGTATACCTGGCGGGTAAACTCTGCAGGTACTGCAGTATACTCTGGCAGTAAACTCTGCCAGGTACTGCAGTATACCCCTGGCATAAACTCTGCCGGGTACTGCAGTATACTCTGGCAGTAAACTCTGCGGGTACTGCAGTATTACTCTGGCCAGTAAACTCTGCCGGGTACTGCAGTATACTCTGGCAGTAAACTCTGCCGGGTACTGCAGTATACTCTGGCAGTAAACTCTGCCGGGTACTGCAGTATACTCGGGCCAGTAAAACTCTGCCGGGTACTGCAGTATACTCTGGCAGTAAACTCTGCCGGGTACTGCAGTATACTCTGGCAGTAAACTCTGCCGGGTACTGCAGTATACTCTGGCAGTAAACTCTGCCGGGTACTGCAGTATACTCTGCCAGGTACTGCAGTATACTCTGGCAGTAAACTCTGCCAGGTACTGCAGTATACTCTGGCAGTAAACTCTGCCAGGTACTGCAGTATATCGGCAGTAAACTCTGCCAGGTACTGCAGTATACTCTGGCAGTAAACTCTGCCGGTACTGCAGTTATCTGGCATTTAAACTCTGCCAGGTACTGCAGTATACTCTGCAGTAAACTCTGCCAGGTACTGCAGTATTACTCTGGCAGCAAACTCTGCCAGGTACTGCAGTATACTTCTGGCAGTAAACTCTGCCAGTATGCAGTATACTCTGGCAGCAAACTCTGCCAGGTACTGCAGTATACTCTGGCAGTAAACTCTGCCAGGTACTGCAGTATACTCTGGCAGTAAACTCTGCCAGGTACTGCAGTATACTCTGGCAGCAAACTCTGCCAGGTACTGCAGTATACTCTGGCAGCAAACTCTGCCAGGTACTGCAGTATACTCTGGCAGCAAACTCTGCCAGGTACTGCAGTATACTCTGGCAGCAACTTTTGGCCAGTACTGCAGTATACTCTGGCAGCAAACTCTGCCAGGTACTGCAGTATACTCGGGCAGCAAACTCTGCCAGGTACTGCGTATACTCTGGCAGTAACCTGCCAGGTACGCAGTATACTCTGGCAGAAAAACTCTGCCGGGTACTGCAGTAATAGGGCAGCAAACTCTGCCAGGTACTGCACTATACTCTGGCAGTAAACTCTGCCAGGTACTGCAGTATACTCTGGCAGCAAACTCTGCCAGGTACTGCACTATACTCTGGCAGTAAACTCTGCCAGGTACTGCACTATACTCTGGCAGTAAACTCTGCCAGGTACTGCAGTATACTCAGGCAGCAAACTCTGCCAGGTACTGCAGTATACTCTGGCAGTAAACTCTGCCAGGTACTGCAGTATACTCTGGCAGTAAACTCTGCCAGGTACTGCAGTATACTCTGGCAGTAAACTCTGCCAGGTACTGCAGTATACTCTGGCAGTAAACTCTGCCAGGTACTGCAGTATACTCTGGCAGTAAACTCTGCCAGGTACTGCAGTATACTTCTGGCAGTAAACTCTGCCAGGTCTGCAGTATACCTGGCAGTAAACTCTGCCAGGTACTGCAGTATACTCTGGCAGTAAACTCTGCCAGGTACTGCAGTAAAACTCTGGCAGTAAACTCTGCCAGGTACTGCAGTACTCTGGCAGTAAACTCTGCCAGGTACTGCAGTAAACTCTGCCAGGTACTGCAGTATACTCTGGCAGTAAACTCTGCCAGGTACTGCAGTATACTCTGGCAGTAAACTCTGCCAGGTACTGCAGTATACTCTGGCAGCAAACTCTGCCAGGTATTTGCACTTTTACTCTGGCAGTAAACTCTGCCAGGTACTGCACTATACTCTGGGCAGTAACTCTGCCGGGTTTACTGCAGTTACTCTGGCAGCAAACCCCTGCAGGTACTGCAGTATACTCTGGCAGTAAACTCTGCAAGGTACTGCAGTATCTCTGGCAGTAAACTCTGCCAGGTACTGCAGTATACTCTGGCAGTAAACTCTGCCAGGTACTGCAGTATACTCTGGCAGTAAACTCTGCCAGGTACTGCAGTATACTCTGGCAGTAAACTCTGCCAGGTACTGCAGTATACTCTGGCAGCAAACTCTGCCAGGTACTGCAGTATACTCTGGCAGTAAACTCTGCCAGGTACTGCAGTATACTCTGGCAGTAAACTCTGCCAGGTACTGCATTTATACTCTGGCAGAAAACTCTCCCCAGGTACTGCAGTATACTCTGGCAGCAAACTTTTGCCAGGTACTGCAGTTTTACTCTGGCAGCAAAACTCTGCAGGTACTGCAGTATACTCTGGCAGCAACTCTGCCAGGTACTGCTTTTAAACTCGGGCAGAAAAACTCGCCAGGTACTGCAGTATACTCGGGCAGCAAACTCTGCCAGGTACTGCAGTATCCTGGCAGTAAACCTGCCAGGTACTGAGTATACTTGTGCAGTAAACTTGCCAGGTACTGCAGTATACTCTGGCAGCAAACTCTGCCAGGTACTGCACTATAACTCGGGCAGTAAACTCTGCCGGGGTACTGCATTTATCTCTGGCAGCAAACTCTGCCAGGTACTGCACTATACTCTGGCAGTAAACTCTGCCAGGTACTGCATTTATACTCTGGCAGTAAACTCTGCCAGGTACTGCAGTATACTCAGGCAGCAAACTCTGCCAGGTACTGCAGTATACTCTGGCAGAAAAACTCGGGCCAGGTACTGCAGTATACTCTGGCAGTAAACTCTCCCAGGTACTGCAGTATACTCTGGCAGTAAACTCTGCCAGGTACTGCAGTATACTCTGGCAGTAAACCTTGCCAGGTACTGCAGTTTTCTCTGGCAGTAAACTCTGCCAGGTACTGCAGTATACCTGGCAGTAAACATCTGCCGGGTACTGCAGTATACTCTGGCAGTAACCTCTGCCAGGTACTGCGTATACTTCTGGCAGTAACTCTCCCAGGTACTGCAGTATACTCTGGCAGTAAACTCTGCCAGGTACTGCAGTATACTCTGGCATTTAAACTCTGCCAGGTACTGCAGTAAACTCTGCCAGGTACTGCAGTATACTCTGGCAGTAAACTCTGCCAGGTACTGCAGTATACTCTGCAGTAAACTCTGCCGGGTACTGCGTATACTCTGGCAGCAAACTACTGCCAGGTACGCACATACTTTGGCAGTAAACCTGCCAGGTACTGCACTATAACTCTGGCAGTAAACTCTGCAGGTACTGCAGTATTACTCGGGCAGCAAACTCTGCCAGGTACTGCAGTATACTTGGGCAGAAAAATTTCTGCCAGGTACTGCGTATACTGGCAGCAAACTCTCCCGGGTACTGCAGTATACTCTGGCAGTAAACTCTGCCAGGTACTGCAGTATACTCTGGCAGAAAACCCTCGCCAGGTACTGCAGTATACTCGGGCCGAAAACTCTGCTGGGGTACTGCAGTATACTCTGGCAGTAAACTCTGCCAGGTACTGCAGTATACTCTGGCAGTAAACTCTGCTAGGTACTGCAGTATACTCTGGCAGTAAACTCTGCCAGGTACTGCAGTATACTCTGGCAGTAAACTCTGCCACACTGATTCTCCTTTTTTGACTCAGTATATAATGTTTTCCGCCCAAGATTGGTTCCAGGCGCTCGAGGGATGTATCGTACAGGATTGATGACACAATTTAAAGTTCTAGCACGTAAGAGCGACCGTGAAAATACGAGGGACAGCAACCTTCTGGCTAAAGAATCAAATAATCAAACTTCAACTATACGATGTTGTGTAGTTTTTAGTTTTAAATTTGGACAAAATGCTCTGCATGACCAGTTACTTCTAAAATATATTTGATCTAATTTTGTGTATTTAATTGGAAATATGCAAAATTTATGTTTTTGTGTTTTGCTTTTTGATAAAAATTTAAAGCTCTTCATAGAGCAAACTATTGTTATATGGTACAGTAGTTAGAGTACTAGCCTGAGAGTTTTAACACTGGCTGACCACTCATTCAATCCTACTCAGTACCTGTGTTATTAATAATTTATTTATTTATTTATTTAATAATTTGAACATAAATACAGAGGTACAAAAAAATACAGGTAAGAGCAGCATGCCAAAGCCACTTATACTATGCATAGCATTACGGGCTGGCTTAAAATTAACTTAAGATTAACTAAGCAATGATGTAATCAGTGATAAAACATTACTATAAACAGATAACAATAAATCGCAAATGAGTATTACAAAGACAGGTCATATGGTTGCATACATTGCTGTACATTCAGTCGAATGGAGTATTCTGTTAGGTAGTGTATTTAAAAAATAAAGTTAGATTGGGTCTTAGGTTTAACATTTATGTGATATAATTGTGAGTAACATATAGGATATACAATTTATAAGGTTCAGTTATTCAGTGTCAGTACAATTTGATCGCTCATTTCTGTAATATAAACTTGCTCTGCAGCAGTGTTCTTAAATTCAAAACGATGTAGTACAACATTTTATTAATATTCTCGCAGATCTGTCTTCTTCCAGACACCAAAAACTCTTTCCAAACTACAGTGAAGAAGAAGACGCAGGATCCTGTCTTTGAGGAGACTTTCTCCTTCGAGGTAAATAAGATTATTATATATCAAGAATTTGGTAGTATATAGAGCCACATATACATGATAATGTAATTTTTCTTCTTAAATAGTTACTGTGTTATTGTTATATTTACAAAGCTCTTTGAAACAATGACCTTATTGTAATATTTACTAAGCTTTCTGAAACAATTCTATGTAAAGTAAAAGGACACAAGTGCAACTAATGTGGCATCTTATTGTGGCAATGTTTCGCTCTCCAGGAGCTTTGTTAAGCTGATACCACAAAAAAATGTCACATTAGTTGCACTTGTGTCCTTTTACTTTACATATTGTCGGTAATTCTACCAACATTATTACAACGAAACAATTCTAATTGATAATTTGGTTGGTGTTCCTCAGCTGCCATACAGGGAGGTTATTCGTCGTACCCTAGAACTCAAAGTGAAGGATTTTGACAAGTACTCTCGCCATTGTGTCGTTGGCCATGTGCTCCTGCCTTTACAAAATGTTAATTTGGCCAGACCCTCACGTCTTTGGAGACCTCTCGCCCAGTGCAATCCAGTATGTATTTGTTATGTTATGTCCCTTATTACTTTGATAGTAAGGTTCTCACTATATGTTCTTGTGTAGGGTGGCTTTTTACTTAATGGCCTTATCTGTCTAGGGGTAATACTTACCTCATGGCTGATCATCCTCAGTGTCTCTGATATCCTCTCACCAGCCCTCTTCACAGGTTATGTAAACTACAACTATAAAAATATAACTATTCTAAATAGATATGTACAGAATAGACAATTACAGCCTCACATAATCAAAACAAAAATCTACACACTCCTTAGCTATTCTCCCACATGGTGCATCTCAGCAACTTTGCCCTTCACTCTTCATGACTAATCTTTGGGCTAACCAGTGTTTTGACACACTTTAGTCACCCTGGGTATGGTGGCCACAACTTAAGTTATAAAAACTCACCCCTGGAGCGCACACAATGTCCAAAAAAATAGAAGAATGACCCAGAGATCTTGCCAGGTTGAAGTCCAGCAACAGAGAGAGGGAGGAGCCTAGCTAAGCTCCTCCCACCAAAACAAAAGACTGTTGCCAAGCACAATTCTCCAGTTACCACAATTCTACTACACCTTAATTTTACTTTTACAAAAAGAAATACAACTTTATAAACTACTTATTTAAATTGTGTGTTTGTTTGTCTATAGTATAACCTATTATATTGAGAAAAAGGCTTGACCCAGCTGCCTCTCAGTCATAAGAGTGATCAGCCCTTATGACATTTAGAGCAAAGTCCCCATCAATTCAATATAATTAGGTATTCCAGAGTAACTGTTACTTATAAATACATGTTGGGTCCTATAGCCCCATAACAGTATTTCACTATTTTAGGAAAATGTAAATAAAAATGGTTTTAGAGGAAATATAGGCGACATCATAATAACGGTTGAAGGGAATGTGAAGATTTAAAGGTAAGAGACAATACAATAAGTGTCAGGGGCCCAATACTGTTCAACTGCCTCCCAGCATACATAAGGGGATATTGTCTGTAAACCCCTGGTTATTTTCAAGACGAAGCTAGACAGACACCTAAAATCAGTACCTGACCAGCCAGGTTGTGGTTTGTATGTTGGTTTATGTGCAGCCAACAGGAACAGCCTGGTTAATCAGGCCCTGATCCACCATGAGGTCTGGACACGGACCGGGTTGCAGGGGCATTGAACCCAGAACACCCATACCCCCAGGTATACTCCAGGTAACTACGCTAGACGTTATTATGTAATGTTTACGTGTTCCCATTATTCTGGGGATTGTGCTCAAGGATCTCAGTTTAGCTGCATGTAAATGACACTGTTGATGAAACAAGAAAAGCCATTTTACAGAACAAACTTTTATAAGGACGTGTCATAAGAGACAACTAAAATGCTGTGAGCAAGGGGCTAGTAACCCCTTCTTTTTACATTACTAATTTTAAAAAGAGAAACTTTTTAGGTCACCCTGCCTTGGTGGGATATGGCCTGTCTGCTGAAAAAATAAATGACATTTTTATTTAGCCAAAGAGAAAGACTGTGTCATTACAGTAAATAGTGTTTAAGCATTAGTATTAATCTGCCCAAAATGAACTGCATACTAGTGGCTTTCTTTTGTGCCTAACAGTATTGTATTATATGTAAACTACATTACCTGTATACTGCAGAAAATAAATTTATAAGAATATAGTAGTTATAATAGTATTATTGACTTTGCAGGATGCAGAGGAATACGGTGAACTGCTGCTGTCGCTGAACTACCTTCCTACTGCTGGGCGCCTTAATGTAGACATCATCAAGGCCAAACAGATCCTCCAGACCAACCTTGTTCGAGGAGCAGGTCAGTCACAATGTTGTTTTAGTCACAAGAAAGTGGTAAACCTGAATGGGTTGTACAGTGCTACCTATTGCTTTTATTAATGCAGTGACAACAAAGGGATGAATTTGCAAAGCATATTAGCTGTTGCGAAAACACATGCTCTGTTTTAGGTAGAATAGTTATCAAAAAAGTTTTGGGAAAGACGGAAAATAGGATTGCAAAAGTATATTGTCCTTTAGAAAAAGCACAAAACTCGTGGGGGGTCATATAACACCTGTGAAATGATAGGTAATTAGGTTTCATCCAAGGAAGAAAAAAATGGTTCCATTTTCTTGAATCCAGAGTCATTCATCTGCACTGAACTACAGCTGAACATTCCTTTGAAGGAATGATAAGGTTTGTTGCCGACTTAAAAGATGGAGACTGGTATAAAGTGTGAATGACAGGTGACATAGAACATATGACTAGTGGAGCACTAGTGTAGGTCTACTGGTCCATGCTAGGCAAGTCCAACTCAATTACTTCCCCTCACATACTTATCCAACAGATTTTTAGAACTATCCCAAGTTCTCACTTCAGTATTACTACTTTGGAGTTCATTCCATTATTCCAGAATTCTGTTGCCAAATCTATGCTTTCTTATATGCTTCTAAATGTAAATTTATCCATTTTGAATTATTATTATTACAATCAAAACTAAGTACTAAACCCACAAGGGTCATTCAGCATCCATTTTGAATACATTTCGATGATTCCTGTTCCCTTTAGGTATTTTTAGCACTATTTATATCCCTCTAGTACAGTGGACCCCTGGTTAACGATATTTTTTCATTCCAGAAGTATGTTCAGGTGCCAGTACTGACCAAATTTGTTCCCATAAGAAATATTGTGAAGTAGATTAGTCCATTTCAGACCCCCAAACATACACATACAAACGCACTTACATAAATACACTTACATAATTGGTCGCATTGGGAGGTGATCGTTAAGCGGGATCCACTGTATTTTGTTTCTCTATTTTTACACTTCAGTCATATCCTCCCTAATTGTATGTTTCTCCAGAAATTTCAAATTCATTGCATTTTATCTGTCTGTCAGGAATGTTTCTAATGCACTGTTGTCTTGACTGCAGATTTCTGATAACCATAACTCTTTTAAATTTTTTTTTCATTCATTTTGATTATGATTGGATTGAAGGAGCATGGAAATTGATGTCATATATAATATGACAATGCTCTGACATCCATACATGCTTTTTCAAGTAAATAATACATAAAGAGGATCCCAGAAGGGGGTCGAAATATACAGATCAATTATTCTCCAGAGTTTCCGCCTCCATGTGGGTTATTAATGAACATTGATACTTGTTTATTGCACCATAGTTATTCATAGTACACCTCACTTACTCTTCTGTCTGCATATGAATTCTGTAACCTATGAATACCTTCTTTCTTTGTTGAAGGAAAGAAGTTATTCATAGGTTACAGAATTTATATGCAGACAGAAGAGTAAGTGAGGTGTACTAAAAGTGCCAAGTCCAGTGCTAGTGACTGGTTCTCTAAGGACCGGTCACTAGCACTTTCCAGGTGTTTCTGCAGTAATAGATTTGCCAGTGCTTTTGTAATATGGAAACTTAATTGGTTTTGTGTGATGGTGTTAGTGGCTTGGACAGCCAATATACTTTTGTGAGCTTGTTAGATAGGAGTGTAGTGGAGGCAAGTGGTTTTTATGTTTGGACATGCTGTTGGAGTGTGAGCAAAGTAACATTTATGAAAGGGATTCAGGGAAGTTGGTTAGCCAGACTTGAAACCTGGAGGTAGGAGGTACAATGCCTGCATTCTGAAAGAGTGGTGGGGCATGTTACCTTTCAGAGAGTGGTCTAAGCTATGATATCAACATGCTTCTGAAAAGACAGTGATTGAATAAATAAATGACTGCAAAAGTGTTTAAATTTTTTCTGCTCACCTTACCTCGGTGGGAGACGGTCAGTATTTAAAAAAAAAAATAGCTGTGCTGATTAAAGCACATTATAAACATTTTTACCTGTTTATCTCCCTCCTTGGTTAATGCTGCTTGTCCATTTCATAAGATGTCTGTTTATGGCAAAAGCATTGTTGGTGTTTTGTATACGACCTGAAAGAAACCCCTCTAGGTTTTTTATTGCATCTATAATTGGTGGGAGAACAAACATTTGTTCTAAAACTTAAATGTATTTTTAAATAAATTAGACAATATTAAACAATATTAACGAAAACTATAGTCTCGCAGATCCATATGTTTGTGTCTCTGGTGGTACATGGTTGACATTAAGATACAAGAGATGATATTAAACAAAATTAATAAGCACTATCATCTTACAGATCCATATGTTCGTGTGTCTCTGGTGGTACGTGGTCGACATCTCAAGTCAAAGAAAACTGGTGTCAAAAAGAATACTCTTTCGCCTTCCTTTAATGAGTCATTTAGCTTCCAGATAGCATCTCCAGAGCTGCGTGAAGCATCACTTGTGATCACTGTTTGGGACTGGAATGGTGGAATCATGAGAGACGAATTTATTGGCAGAATTGTCTTAGGGAAACAACCATCAGGTATGTTCTCAACATCAATTAGCTTTCAGTATGTATAATAATTTGTGACTGCTGTACAATGGCTGAAATGTTAGTGGCTTTCTTTTGTGCTTAACAATACTATACGTATTACATGTAAACTAGATGTTGTATATTGCAGAAAAAAAATAAACTTGTACACATTCCTTTCAGGGGTAATCCTTTGAGCACAATAACTAATGTACCTTTTATTCAATATTAATGTATTATATTTATGCTAAGATTCTTGTGATTTTTTTTTTTTAGTGTACGTCAGTATCTCAAAAACCTGGGGATTTTTGTATACTTTTGTATTTTTCCTTACCATTCAGAGTTTTAAAAAGAGAAGTGTTCCCATTTTCTCTTCATCTCCAGCTGTAATTCTCAAATCCTTGATCCATTTCTTTGCAGTTCATTCTTTTCTCTTTGCTATCCTCCCAGTTTCATAAACTCTGTCTACTCTCATGTTAAACAGACTTTCTTCCCTTTAAAACCCATTGTGAAGACCTCTGTATGTTGCCTTCCTTTAATTTCTAATTTACAAAAGTGTAATCTCACTTTGTCTTTTGGATACAGGAATTAAACTTGCATTTTGTCAAACTAATATTTGATAACCTGATTGCAAACAAACCACAGAGCAGATGGGGTTAGAACCCATAGCAAGTGAGTTGTAAAACTCCAGGCTAGTGTGTAAGGCACTGGACCAGCTAGCTACAATAAGATTCATCTAACTAGGTATATTTATACACCATAGGAAAGTTAGCACTGGCCACCACTGTGACTTAAGCCACAGTGTTGTGACTTTTATTCTTAAGTGAAATGTCTTTCAGGTCCACACGAGATTAATCACTGGAACAATATGATGGGGTCACAGAGGCATGCCGTCGCTCAGTGGCATTCACTCCATTCCCGCCAGCAGTGTGATGAGGTGAGTGATGTTCCATCAATCTTGTCAGTTCTGAGGGCAACAGGCAATCCAAAACTAAGCACTCAACCCACAAGGGTCATACAGTCAGGGCAACAGTTAATCTCTCTTTTGTGTTTAACAGTATTTTATTATATGTAAATTACATTTTGTAAACTGCAGAAAGAAATAAAGTATAAAAAAAAAACATAATGCACGGGATTCATCACTCGGGATCTGAGTGATGAATAAGAGTTCAGCCAAAAAACACACACTCATTACAGAGTACTTAAGCACTTCCAATACAACCTATATCCACATTGCCACAAGCTTTCACCTCAGCCCACTTGAGCCACATCAACCACTCCACACAATTTCGTGTTAACAATTAGTGACAAGCAGAACATAAATCGGACAATCACTAATACGTAATTAGGTATTCCAGAGTAACTGTTACAGATACATAAATACATGTTGGTCCTATAGTCCCATAACATATATACTGTACTGTACAAAAATTTCTTTTAAAATGGATACAATACTTATTTATGTTAGATATTGTGCTCCAGTTCCCCGAATTAAGCTTGAATGCCTTCCACATCCCCCCCCCCCCAGGTCTGTATAATCCTCCGGGTTTAGTGCTTCCCCCTTGATTAAAATAATAATAATAATGTTAGATATTGTTTTCATACACTAATACATTATTTACAATGACAAGGTCACCCTGGTGAAGAACTTTTAATCCCAGGAAGAGGAGCTAACTCTCCCTTGAATCAAACCTGATTTTTAAAATAGTATTTTTCAAGCTAAGAATTCAACCATATAAAATACTGAACATTTAGAGCTGCAGTAGTTTTATTCACAATTAAAAAGCAACTTAATGGAAGTTTGTAAACTTATCAGAGAGCTTTATAAAACTATCAAAAATGATATTCACTTATTTCACTGTCACTCAAGCTGCATTAGTAAACATTTATGAAGGAAATTCATTTTGTGTTTCTCTCTGAGTTAAGACGTAACACTGACTGAGTTCTCAACATAAAGAGCTGTCGTTCAAACACTATTAAAAAAGGCTAATGTAATAAAATTCTTTAACATGTATGGTACAAAAGCTAAGATCATATTCTTTTTATCAATTTTATTCAAGCACATGCCAAGAATTATGACTAGATTGTCCATATCAGTTTAAGAAACTGCAAAACTTGTAGTATTTTTTCATATCCTACCGAGACAAAAATATACCCTCAACACTGTTGGTTTTATATAGTCCAAGTGTACACAAATTTCTTGTTATAATTACATGTTTTGAATTTTAACAAGAGAATCCATCAAACACATTCATTTTTTTAACACATTGGCTGTTTCCCCACCAAGGCAGGATGACCCAAAAAGAAAACACTTTCATCATCACTCACTCTATCACTGTCTTCCCAGAGATGTGCTGATACTATAGTTTAAAAACTGCAACATATATCTACCCCTCCTTCATAATTAAATAAAAATTTATTTTCTGTAAAACAGCATTTTTTTTTTTCAGGTTTCATCTGCTTCCCGTGCTGTCCCATGAGCAGTTAGCGGCACTCCAAGAGGATTGTCTTCAAAGTTAAGCTGACAGGCATCATTTACTTGGCACAAGTGTTAGTGTGTTGGCTTTTATGTCTCATGTCTTGGGTTCTCCAGGAGCCTTCATGCATTGGCTAAGACAGAGTTGCAGGTGGGAATTAACTAAGTGCTTTATGGTAATGCTTTACTGTATCTGACAGTTTCTTTTCTCTTTCCCTTCAGTGGTGTAGGGTGTGGTTTTACACCACAACTTGCAACCCTTCACAAGATGGCAATGCCATATATACATCATTTGAAATCATCATTCCTTCATTAAAGACCTTAGTTCCTCATAGACAGGTTTCCTGAAACTCCTAGTAGAATAATTCTTTCAAAAGGGCAGTAGGGATGATGTTTAGAGCAGCACATTCTCAGAGGACCTAATGACTAGAATTATTAGACCCAGGAGCCTTTAGAATACATTACTGTCAAATTCTTTGTTCACCTTAATACCTACAGTAACTTAGTACCTTATATTTCAACAACAATAGTTGTGTATGAGTTGGCAGCTTTGCCATGTTTTGAATCTGTCCACTCTAATATTTAAGTGTTGTCTAGTACAATGCCATAACCATGAGGACCTACATGCCAAGAGCTAGGATTCAACCCCTGCAAACACAACTAGGCAAGCACATCTTGCAGCTCCATGTATAGTATACTAGACATATTTTATAAGCCCAAATAACAGACTATTTCATAGCCTCGTGCTGTTAGGTTCTAAAGCATTATATAAATTTTTGCTTTTGAAAGACATTTATCTTTGTGTTGATAGACAAAATTTATTTGCATTGTCCTATCTATGAATCCATAGGTCACGCTTTTATCCATCGAATTAATCTGTGGTTAATGTGTGTAATAATTTTTTTTAGATTATTGATTTCAGATATTTAGATAATTTTAGATTTACTGTAATGTGGTTAAGATGGTAATCTATATTATTTAAATAAACTTATAAAAGAGGCACCAAGATCATTTATTATTATTAAGTTTCATATTTTACAAATAATTTATAAGTGTTGATAAAAATATTCTTTAAATTTCTCAAGATTTATATTACATTAAAAATAAGATATAATTTTATTGTAATAAATATATTCTGAATTACAGTATCGTCACAAGTAATGTAAATGTTTATTTGTAAACATATATTGCAGACAATGAGTAGACTGACCCCTTAACTTAATATTGTCTTCTTTGGTTTTTAAATCTAAAACATTTCTTGTATTCAAATACTGAAGCAAGAAAATAATTATTTGTATCTAGTAAGAGTTAATCTTGGATCATATATTTAATTAGTTTTATACAATACATAATTATTTTGAGTGGATATAAGATGGAGGGGTGTTAATGTTGCAGTTTAAAAACTGTAGTGTAAAGCACCCTTCTGGCAAGACAGTGATGGAGTGAATGATGGTGAAAGTTTTTCTTTTTCGGGCCACCCTGCCTTGGTGGGAATCGGCCAGTGTGATAATAAAAAAAAAAAAAAATAAGATGTCATCTCATAATACATGGTCAAGGTGAGTTCACAGTGGTTTTTGTACTAAGTTTATAAATTTTATGCACTTTTGTGTATATCTGAATTACTTGATAATGGATCTTGTCTACATGTTAAGAGTTTTATAGTCATTAGGAATCATTAGATAGTATGTGTGTTTAGATTACAGTGTTGCTCTGAACTTGAGTGTGTATATGTGAAACGCACTTTATATTTTTGTGTATATACCAAGTAATTAAACAAAACTGCATCATACAGTGCTGTGCATACTATTAAGATGTTTATTCAGCAAGGAAGATTGCATACGTACGTACATGCGTGCGCGCGCGCGTGTGTGTGTGTGTGTGTGTGTGCGCGTGTGCGTGTGCATATATTAAAAAAGGTGCTTATATAGGTACATTGGTAAAATATTAAATTACTTTTACTGTGATATACAGACAAGAGTCAGGGGTTCCCAACTGTGTGTGTGTCAGGGCCTTGTATATCTTATACCTGTCTCAGTATTTGTTTTAAAAACCTCCCATCAGTACTGATTATATTTTAAATTGTTTGATTCATTTTATGGTAATAATAAACTAATATATGAGTTACTGTAATTGTTCCTTGAGAAGTGTAACAAATACTTGTAAAGTTCCTTGAATCAAGAGCCCTTCACTGGCATCAAGGGACTCCTTTAGAGGGATAATTAGCTATAATTTTTCCATATTCATTTAAAACTTTATATACATTTTGATTAAAGGGACTTGGTATTGTTTTGTCAAACTTTATAGTAGCTTTTTAGTATGTTGTTATAGTATTATATTTATGGGGAGATGAGTCATGGTGGTAGGAAGTATATTGTATAATACAATACAGCTTCATTTCATGAAGCTTATACAATAAAATATTGTCAAGCACAAAAGATAGCCACTAACATGCGGTGCATTTTGGGCAGACTAATCCTAATACTTAGATTGCCTAAGAACTAGACATAGGTTATTGAGTATTGTATTGTATAAAGGAGGGATGAGGATGTAGCAGTTTGGAAGATCGTCTAAACTGTGATATAACATTTCTGGCAAGACAGTGATTGAATGAATGACAGTGATAACTTTCCTCTTTATTTAGTCGCCCTCCTTTGATGGGAGATACGCAGTATGAAAAATAATAATGGGAAAGTGCCAAACATTGGATCAAGATCCTCTTATCAAGAATGGAATTTAAGAAGGTTGGGGACCCCTGATCAGGACAGTTATAATTCCTGTTATTTGCACTTTGTTGCTATTTATAGCACATTTTCATTTTAACCCTTTCACTGTCCAAACCCCCAGAATTAAAAGTGCTCACAGTGTCCACATGTAAAAAAAATTCTTCTGAAATAGGAGAGAATCTTCTGAGGGGGAAATGACACCAAAAATAAAAAATTTGATGGAAAACTTACAGAATTACATTTGCACAAAGATAGCGATCTGGGTGCAATTTTCGTATTGGCAATTTCACTCGCTTTAAGTCCTAATTTAAGTAGATTCCATTGCTCAATTCAAACAAATTCTTAGCTATTTCATTAGTATGGTTTCTGTTCTGTTGATTGAGCACAAGAAACTGCCCATTCAACTATCAAAACTATCCTATAAAGTGCACAGAAGTCAGTAATTTGGTCAATTTTATGCAAAATTTAAAAAATTCTAAAATAAACACTGTATACATTCTTGGCGCTAAAATTACATTTGTTCTGTTCATTAATTACAAAAAAAAAAAAAAACTGAAGATTTATGCCAGTTTTTAGATAATATATAACCAGGAATGATTGGTCATAGTTTACAGCATCCCAATAATTGAATCAGACCTGGTAAAAACCCATAAATCAGACCAGGGGGTGAAGGGGGGCCTTACCCATCCTCAGGAAAATCTGCAAAAATCAAATACTTCTGCTACTTTTGATCCTGGAACCAACCAAAATCATTTGTATTTCAGTAGTATGTCTTCCATTCTATCAAATGAAACCAACAAATAGTAAAACCATAAAAACCATCCTCAAAAACACTAGAATTGGTATTGTAAACCAAACAGGGTCACAGAGGTTTGCTTTTCCCATCATGCACCATGGGAGGCAGGATTTTTTTTTCCTGTGCACACTCTCTGCACAAACTCATTCTCTCATATCTTGGCCAAAATTTACTGCTCATATATTATATGAGTGAGCTGAGCTAATGACGTAGACCTATGTAACGGACAGTGAGAGGGTTAAAACAGTGTCTCAAAACAAATTATAAATGTTAAGTAATTGTGTACAGGTACTCATTGACTTACAGTATATTGACTTTATGATGGTGCATAAATAATTACAATGGAGATGAAATTTGGGATAATTGCCCAGCATGAAGGTGACAAGTCCATAATTTCTCTTCAGTTGCTTTTCAACACTGGTATATATATTTGGCTAGTTACAGTAATTATGTGTTTATAAAAAACTATTTACTTATTCAGTGACAGTAGTTATTTACTCATTTTTTTTTATCATATTCGACTTATCGATGGGTTTGTCAGAATGTAACCCCATTGTAAGTCAAGGAGCACCTGTATAATTGAGGAAATTTGTTACATATACTTTACTTTTCCTTAGCAAAAAATTAAGCATATACAATTTATAATGTGAGAGTAATTAAATCAATATTCAGGTATTTTTAAGTGTTATGTTTTTTGATTCCAGATGACTAACACTTCCAGTGATGTATGTATTCCTTACTCTCGAATTACATTGAATACAGCGTTTCTCTGGATAGGTATGTGAGTGTAGGCAACCTGTATGTAATGTTTATTATCTTGGGCAGTTAAGCACGTGTCCCAGATAGTGATAGGATTGTGGACGAGACAATAGACACTTGTCAAGAGAAACAAATTGCATTCAAATGATTCAGGTGTTTACAAAAAAAATTTTATATTTATGGTACTATAATATTTCCTTTATTCTTGTAATTTGTAAGATAATCACAGTCCTAACACTAATATCTTCTATATTCAGATGATTAGAGGTATCAAATTTAAAATCTATTTTTTTTATAAATATGTAGTGTGTGTATGTATAATATAAATTTATATATAATCCTAACAATAGCTACTTTATGTAGTATATACTATTTGTCAATGTCATAAACGTAATTATAGAATTACAGTCGTGCATCGCTTAACGACAAGGGTACGTTCTGAGAAATGAGTGGTTAAGTAATTTCTTCATTGTGTCAACATCATAGTGTTTCTTACACAAACCTAGATGGTGTAGCCTACTACACACCTAGACTATATGGGTTGTTATTTTCACCACAGATGTGCTTGTAAGCAGATAATGCATGAGATTAAATCAAGCACGAGGGAAAGTGATGCTATCAAGAGACACAGTATACAAGAGATGTAAAAGTGTGCTGCCGGCATAACACTGTTGCACAGTAAACTTTCTTTTATAAGTAGAGAGAGTACACTCTAGAACAACACTATAAAGTACAGCAGTACCTCGAGTTATGTACACTCTAGAACAACACTATAAAGTACAGCAGTACCTCGAGTTATGTACACTCTAGAACAACACTATAAAGTACAGCAGTACCTCGAGTTATGTACACTCTAGAACAACACTATAAATACAGCAGTACCTCGAGTTATGTACACTCTAGAACAACACTATAAAGTACAGCAGTACCTCGAGTTAGTACACTCTAGAACAA